CTCTATATTAGGGACATAGTGAGGTTACATGGTGTCCCTGTGGCGATTGTCTCAGATAGAGATCCACATTTCACGGGTCGGTTATAGCAGAGCCTATAGAGTGCCTTGGGCACGAGATTAACTTCTAGTACTGCGTATTTACAGTGCATTCGGGGGGCACAAAGATGTATCTTGACCTTAGCCCCTAGTTTTGGTGGAGGGAAATGAAAAAGGATATGGTTGTGTTTATGTTGAGATGCCTTACTTGTCAACAAGTAAAGGCTAAACATCAGAGGCCAACGGGTTTGGTATTACCCTTGCCTATAGCCGAGTAGAAATGAGAGCATGTCTTGATAGATTTTTTTGTGGGCCTTTCGAGGACTCAACGGGGTAGTGGTGCAATTTAGGTGGTAGTTGATCGATTGACCAAGTCGGTTCACTTTATACCTATGTGAGTGACTTGGTAGATCATCTTGCCGACCTCTATATTAGGGACATAGTGAGGTTACATGGTGTCCCTGTGGCGATTGTCTCAGATAGAGATCCACATTTCACGGGTCGGTTATAGCAGAGCCTATAGAGTGCCTTGGGCACGAGATTAACTTCTAGTACTGCGTATCATCCTCAGACTGATGGACAGTTTGAGCACACTATTCAGATTCTTGAGGATATGCTTCAGGGTTGTGTTCTTGACTTTAAGGAGTCGTGGAAGAGACACTTGCCCTTAGTGGAGTTTGCCTATAACAATAGCTTCTAATTGAGTATTGACATGGCACCGTTTGAGGCCTTGTATGATCGACCGTGTAGATCCCTTGTGTGTTGCGCCGAGGTCGGTGATGCACCTATGTTGGGTCAAAAGTTAGTTTGGAAAACAGCGGAGAAAGTTACACTTATTCGTAAGAGGTTGGCTACTGCCCAAAGTCACCAGAAAAGTTATGCCAACCGTAAGAGGAGACCCTTTTTTTTTAGGTAGGAAACGATGTCTTCCTGAAGATATCACCTAGAAAGGGTTCGATGAGGTTTGGAAAAAGTGGGAAGTTGTCCCCTCGATTCATTGGGCCTTTTGAGATCCTTGAGCGAATTAGATAGGTAGTTTATCGTTTGGCTTTGCCGCCACATCTTTTCGGGGTTCATGAAGTGTTTCATATTAGTATGCTTCGGAAGTATGAGTCTGATCCATCGTAAGTGTTGGATTGGACCGACTTAGAGGTATATGAGGATGCCTTGTATGAGGAGAGACCGGTGAGAGTCTTGGATACTCAGGGACCAAGTCTTGCAAGGCAAGACAATTCCCTTGGTTAAAGTATTATGGAAACATCACGGGGTTGAGGAAGCAACTTGGGAACGAGAATTAGAAGTCCATGAGAAGTATCCGGACTTATTTGTTGATGTTTGAGCATGTAGTGAAATTTTGATTATGTTAATGAAATATGAAAATATTGTATATGTTTTGAGAATATGGAAACATTGTATATGTTGTATGTGTTTTGGAAACATGGATTTAATATAAACATTGTACACGCTTTGGAAAAATGTAAACTGTGCTTTCAATGTTAAAACTTGTGTATCGAGTTGATGAGAATGGGTGACTGGGGAATGGGTCATGGTGACGGAATTGATTGATTATCATTGTTGTAATTGGTTTAAACATAGTTTTAAAACTTGATTTGAAATTTCGGGAATGAAATTCCTTAAGGGAGGGAGATTATAGCAATTCAGGTTTTAACTTGACCCTTTTGTATCTTGGACTCGGGTTTCATGGCTTCGTATTATTGACCATGTCTTGCTTCCCTTATATTTCCTTAATTTTAGCTAATCGATTGTAGTGGCTGTGTTTGGAACAGGTTGATTGCTTAGTTTTCAAACTTTTGTTGCCCAAAATTTTACTCCTCTGCTCGAATGGCACTTCTTGCACTCAAGCGGCCTTTGTGAACTCTCAGTACTTTTGCAAGTTTGCAAAATTACTGGGAGAGTGCATTCTATGCTCTAGCAGTGCTTTCTGCAATCGAGCAGTCGCAGCTCGAGCGGCCTTTCTTGTGCTCGAGCATTGGTCTGTTGTCTATAAAACTACTGTGATTGTGTATTCTGCGCTTGAGCGAGGCTTCTTGCGCTCAAGCGGAACATCTTATTGTGTCTGATGCTCGCGCGTCACTTCTTGTGCTCAAGCGGACTGTGCATATATCATTTCGTAGTAGCATCTTTCTACTTCACTTTTTCACACCTTTTTCCCTCAAAACCCTAGATCTAAAGCCTCTCTCTCTCTAAAACTCATTCTCTCTCTACATTTTCACCTTGATTTGGTGGTTTCTCTACTCGTGTACCTTTGTTAAAAAAGTAAAGCATCTTAAGAGCTCCATTTTGGTCCAAACAAAACATGATTTCAGGGTTTTTAAAGTTTCTCCATTGCTTCCTTGATCTCTAGCTTCAAGGTAGGGACTTTCTACACTCTTCTATGAGTTTTAACTTAGTTATTTGTTGATATGTAAAGAATATTGGAATTTGGGATGATTTTGAACAAACCTAGAGTTTTGTTTTAAAATCAAAAGAGGGGTTTTCAGATGTATAGATTAAAAATGGTTATGGGAGGAGATGTGACGTTGTGTTATGATAAATTTGTTGATTTTGATACCTGGGATGGATTTTGGAAGAAAATGGAGTTTGCCTTAAAATGTCTTAAATAGTTATTTTATATAAATAAATGAAATTGTTATTGGGAATGTGAAATTGGATGGATGTTTGTATAAATTGTGGAGTTGGATATGTATTACCATTCACCTATGCAAATTTGGATAATTTATTTGTCTTAGAGATTGTATATCTGTTTAGAATATCTATTTTGGGCTATCGGTAGAGGATAGCTATGATTGTTGTAGAAACTGCATGAGGATTAGGTGAATTGAAACTAATCTCTTATCCGTTGTCATTGAATATAAATATGTCTTTGATACATTGTAAATGTATGATTTTTAGGAGAAAAATGGGGATATACCCCATGTTTGGGAGAAGAAATGAGACAGACTCCATTGATTTAAGTTGGCCTATGTGTCCAGGGTAAAAGTCCCAAAAACCACACGTATACATGGGTGCTAATTCCTGCGGACGAAATATCCGTAAAATGGCAAATGGAAGTGTCTGTATAATGGTTATGCTGGTTAGAGACCCATTGAGTTGTACCCTCAATTTGGTTGTTTGACTAAATTAGTGAATGACTCATGAATTGAGATAAAATGAATTGAGATATAAAGCTTGTCATGGCTTAGTTTTGTAAAAAAGTTATACTTGATTTTATCATGGGCATTGGATATGCATCTCATACTTGTATTTTTGATAAAATTCATACATTGTGTTAGATTGTTTCTACTGGATTTTGGCTCACCCTACTTGGGAAAATCATTTTCAGGTGCTGATGATATACCTCCGCCAAGGACTTAGCTTGGGAGGATTGTGGAGCTGAAGGGTCAGTTTTGTTTATCTTGTATTTAACTTTTGTACAAGCCTAGGACTTTATTTGTATTGAGCTTATGACTCATTTTTAATGTACCCAAGCCTGAGTTTAGAAAGATGTAAGCCTTTAGGGCATATAAATATTTGTTTAGCTTTTATTCCTTATCATCTTTTGTATAGTAATTCTGATTAATGAAAGCTTATCATTTCAATTATGACACCTTATTTTAATTGTTTAGAGTTGGATTATTATAATTATTTCGGGACGTTACAAAATTAACCAGTGCTTAAAGGGCGGATCGACGAGATTAGGCAGATCAGTACGGATTGTATGGTATTTTATACAACCACCACCACCTTTTCCAACTCTACCTATCGGATTCACCTCCTCTCCAACGCTTTACAGTCCGGCTCCCTCCAGCCATTCCACCAGATAGAGATGCGTGGCAACAACGGATCCGACGGGCGAAAAGAGAGCCACGTCTGTGATGCTCAAGAAACAAACAAAACGACGCCAAGTTCTATTGTTTTGGCTAGATGGAGGTATGTTATGGAAAGTTTTTTTTTATTTTTTATTTTGAATTACATATCCAGATTCAGATCCCTTCTCTCGTCTTTTTCATAAATTCAGAACCCAATCCCTCCTTCCCTCTCTCTCTCTTTCTCAGAACCCAGTCCCCTATCTATGATTCAGTTTTTTTCCATTTATAATCAATCGACAGTAGAAGGCTTCGCCATCCTTAGACTCCATCATTTGAAAATCTTTGTTTACCCAAACAATTGTAAACACCAAAGGTTAGATTTGTAGTAGTTTATTTTCGTTTTTTTTTTTTTAGGGGGGAGGGGAGTGTTCAAATCCATTCCAAGTGTATGATGAAATGCCTCAATGAATCATGGACTTGTAAACATGGGTGTGAATCATGGTGAATATCTGGAAGTTAGATTCTCATATATATATATTTGCTAGTCTATTTGAGAACCCACCTAAAATCTAGAAGCAATAGTTTTCATGCTTATTTATATATGTTCATTTATAAATGAGCACATATAAATCTCATTTATATATTTCACTGAACAGATTAGCAATAGTCTGTCAGTTTGAGAACTCATTAATATATGCTCATTTATATATGATGCTCATAAATCTAGTAATTTTAGAAAACCCACCTAAAATCTGGTATGTATATGATGCTCATATTTCACTGAAAAGATTTTTTTCACTCTTAAGCAGAAACAAATTTGTCATATCAATCAAGGTTAGGCTTTTAGATACTTTTGTAAAGTTTTTCTATTGATTTAGGAGAAGACAATCATTTTTCCACAAATCAAATATTTAGAAAAAGAAAAAATTGATTTAGTAAATAGTATAAAGCAGAACATTAATGTGTAAAACAGAGCCTCAATATCATTTAAGAACATTAAGCCATGTACTGCTTTCACATATTTATTAGATAAAAAATCATGTTTACTGTTTTGCATTTTAGGTATTGGATATATCGAAGATTGATGATTTAACAATTGCTACCCAAATGGATGTTCATGGCGAGGATGATACACAATGTAAATCCATATTAGGTATGGAATTTAACTCTAAACAATCAGCTTATGAATTTTATAATTCTTATGGAGGAAGAGTTGGATTTAGTATTAGAAAAGAATATGCTCATAAAAGTAAGACCAGTGAAATTACTTCAAGGACATTTGTTTGTTCTAAGGAGGGTCTTAGAAAATCTGATAAAAGAGATTTTGCTGTAAGGACTTCTAGGGCAGAGACAAGGACCGGTTGTGGTGCTTTGATGAGCATTAAATTAATTAGGCAAATTGGGAAGTATAGAGTTATCAATTTTGTAGAAACACATAACCATCCCCTTGTAGTAAGTGCATGTGCTCATATGCTTCCTTCCCAAAGAAAAATTTCCACCTCTCAATATATTGAAATAGATTTAGCAGATGACTGTGGGACACCTCTTAGGTCATCCTATGAGTTAATGGGTAGAGAGGTAGGTGGAAGGGAATGTGTTGGGTTTTTGAAAAAAGATCAAGAGAATTATTTAAGAACAAAAAGACAAAGAATGTTGGAATTTGGTGAAGCAGAGAGCATATTGAAGTATTTTCAAGATCAAACGGTACAAAATCCTTCATTCTTTCATTCTGTGTAGTTGGATACTGAAGAGCAAATAACAAATATTTTTTGGGCAGATGCTACAATGATAATTGACTACGGTCAATTTGGGGATGTTGTAACATTTGACACAACATACAAGATTAATAGAGAGAGCCGCCCTTTTGTTATTTTCGTTGGCTTCAATAACCACCGAGAGACCATTGTTTTTGGAGCTGCATTGATGTATGATGAAACAACCGATTCGTTTATATGGTTGTTTAAAAAATTTTTAGAGGCAATGTCAAATAAACATTCAAAAACTATTTTCACAGATCAGGATGCAGCAATGGCTAAGGCTATTTCATATGTGATGCCTAACACATATCATAGGCTATGCACATGGCATATGATGCAAAATGCTGTAAAACATATGAGTGGCATTTTTAGCGGTCCTGGTGGGGTGAGAAGTGTTTTGGGAAAGTTTATAGATGAGTATGAGGAGGAAGAGGAATTTTTTGCAGCTTGGAATGCCATGTTAGATGAGTTTGATGTTCATGATAATTCATGGCTGCAAAGCATTTTTCATTTAAGGAAAATATGGGTTAGGGCATATGTTAGGTGGACATGGTCAGTAGGGATGAAGAGCACACAACTTAGTGAGAGCTTAAATGCTGATTTGAAAGAGTACTTGAGATCAGATTACAATTTGATTCAATTTTTCATTCACTTTGAAAGGGTGCTTAATGAGAAGCGATATAAGGAATATGAAGCTGAGTATGCATTGTCATATAAGTTGCCTAGGATAAAAGTCCAAGTTCTGATGTTGACTCAGGCAGGAGATGTTTACACAAAAACTATCTTTGAAGAATTTCAAGATGAATATGTGGGTTCACTTGAGTTATACGTAGCAAATTGTGTTCACAAGGATGATTGTTTGGTTTGTATTGTCAAAGCATATCGACAATCTACAATGCGTGAAGTGAAGAAAGACAAAGATGGTAATTTGTCTTGTTCTTGTAGGTTGTTTGAGATGAAAGGAATATTGTGTAGTCAAGTTATTAAGGTTTTTAAAGATGAAATGATTATAATCGAAATTCCAAGCCAATATATCCTGAAAAGGTGGACCAAATTAGCAAGAGCTGAAATTGTCCAAGATTACAAAGGGCGTGATATTCAAGCTGACCCTAAGTTGGAACAGAGCAGTAGATACAAGTCATTGTGCTCCCTCTTTACTATGATTTCATCCCAGGCATCTGAATTGGAAAAAACATATGAAGATTGTGTTCAGGAAGGGAAAAAATTGCTCGCATTTGTTCAAAATAAGTTGCGTATACGTATCACCAATGGACCACTAAACTTAAATGATGCTAGCTCTACAATGAGAATGAATGAGGGCAGTGAAAATGTCATTCAAGCGAAGGGACTGAAGAAAAGGATTGACCCCATTTGTGGAAGGTGACGGATTAAAAGTAGCTTAGAAAAGGCATTGGAGACTTCAAGAAAGAAAAAGCAACGCGTTCAGGTATTATTTAATTTTTTTTTGTTTTTTTTTTTATGATCTTTACATTCTTTAAAATTTTCAATTTATGTTACTTGGTTTCATCTAAGTTCTTATCTTGATAGGATGTACAAGCATCTTCAAATATGCTCCCACATATGATGCCACCATATATTCAAGTACCAACTTCAATGCAGGTAATACTTATTTTTTTGTGTTCTTATCTTTACATTTTTAAATTTATTCGAGTTCTTTTCAAGAAATTTCAATTTCTAGGATGTACATGTATCTTCGAATATACTCCCACATATGAGGCAACCATTAGCTGAAGTACCAAATTCAGTGCCTTGGACATGGAATGGAGAGCCTCAATATGCCAACTTCCGAGCCTTACTTCAAGGATTTACTTTGCTTAACTCATCACAATGCTCGACTAGCACATATTACAATCAGGTATGCAACATGAATTATTGTGGATATCCTTCAATTCTATGCTTTGAACTCATTCTGATTATGTTTTTTACTTCATAGGTTCCCAATCTAAACATTATTCGAAATTCCTCTACACTAATATATCCAGAAATTCTTAGAGACCGATGAAGATCGTTGCAAGTGAAAGATTTTTGTTAATATTAAATTTGGGAATGTTTATTGTCAATGTGGATTGTGAATATTTTTATTGCTATACGGTCCATTGAATCGTAAAAGTGATTTTTTTTGGGTATGAAATTTTATTTTTGGGACAATGAAGAATATCTCGCAAGAGTTGATTTTGTAGATATTGTTGTTGATAAGCATATTTGATGAGGCGGATATAAGATTGTTTATAAGGATGTATTGCAGGACAACACTAATGTGGTTGAGTTGAATTTACTAAGATTGTGCAATTGGATTGTTATAAAATAGATTGGCTTAGACTAAGGGAAGCAGAAAAGCTTCAGAATTTTACACATGGGTCGACCACTTGGATGACCACCTGGTCGACTCCTTGGTCGACCACCCGGTTGACCAACCGGTCGACCAGTGCATGCAAAATTGGCATGGTTCAAACAGTTCAAAAAGTAAAAAAAAAAAAAAATTGTCTTTTTCGGTCGACCAACCGGTTGACCCACGGAGGTAGGTTCAAAAAGTTCAAAAAAATAAAAATAAAAAATTAAATCATTTATCTATTTTATTTATTATAAGTGTTGAATCATTCCGTTAGACACCTTCCGTTAACCCAAAACTACTAATTTCGGTGTCGTTTTGTTAACTCAGCAACTCCATAGACGTGGCCTCCTTGGTGCCTTCAGATCTACTAAACGCCACGCGTCTCCATCTGGTAGAAAGGCTGGAGGGAGCCGGACTGTAAAGCACTGGAGAGGAGGTGAATCCCTACCTATCACCTATTAGAAAGAAAAAAAATAATAATAAAATAAACAGATTTGCCATTTGTTCAATCAATATTTAATTCAACTTAATTCATTTAAATTTGTCTATTAAATGCATGATTAGATTGAGTTATTTTTACGAGAAATTTTATGATACGCACCCCCCATTTTGGAATCTGTACCATATGATCCAATTATGACATTTGTGATATTTAGTTATGATTTATTGTGATACTAGTTAGGGGCACAACCATGACTGTTGTGCGTCTTTTGGGGCTTGTTTTAGATTCTATTTTGATGATTTAACTATTTATTTTCTATGAAATATCGAGTACAATATACTAATAAAAAATCAAATTGATCTGACATTAATAGATTTTTCACCAATTATTGTTTATTTTTTTTACTAAAAAATTGAACAAGTTACAAATATCTGATCGACTTAATTTTTTTATTTTTTTTATTTTTTGTAGATGAAATAGACGAAGTGCCCGAGAAAATGAATGATTCGAATCATTGTAATAGGACCTGTGGTGAGCCTCACGAGGCCCAAACAATACCTACCAATCCAAAATCTAAACTAAAGAAAACCTTCCTCCTAAATCTAACAAGTAAATTTAATTTTTAGACTTAAATAACAACCAATGTGTTTAGTTTTAATTTTCTAGATTTCATTTTTTAAAAATTAAGTTTTTCGTTTTCTAATTTTTTTTTTATTTTTAGTGAATACTTTTAAGATTTTAAGTAATTTTTTTACTTTTTTAAATGCACCTTACTTAGATGTATCTAAAAATAAATATTTATTAAAAAATATTTTAAAAAATTAATAAATATACAAGAATACGAAAAGTGTACATAATTTTCAATTTTTTTTTCTTGGGTATTTTTTGTATTTAATAAATTTTTTAAAGATTTTTTTACAAATATTATACTTTTTAAATATATTTATGTTAAATATATTTAAAATTTTAAAAAATTGTTTACAATATTAAAAAATTTAATAAAAAAAATATGAAAAACCAAAATTTTCAAATGAATCTTGAAAATTCAAACCTAATAAGCTGAATAATCTTTTATTAATTTTCGTTGTTGATTGGATGATAAGGCATTGGCAGCCTGGCAGGTCAAGCGTCACTATGAAGGGGCGCGTATCCTCCTTCTCTCTCTCTCTCTCTCTCTCTCTCTGCACAAAGCCTTGCTACCTTTCTCTCTGTCTCGCCAACGGGTACTTATTTGTCTCTTTCTTCGGCCTTCTTGACCCTTTTATACTTCAAAACCCGCATACCTCTCTCTCTCTCTCTCTCATACCCACTCTAATCGTACAATCGATTAGTTAAGATCTCTGCACTTTTGCTCAAATATTCTATGCAAAATCATTCTTGGGTATCAATTACCCAAACCCAAATCCTTTTTCAGTCATCACATCACTAACAATGGCCGAACAACAAAGTTCAGAAGCTCAAACCCACATCCCCACCCCAAATTCAACATTTTCTTCTTCATCATCTTCATCTGAATCGACTCGGTCTCTGTGGAACCAACCCACAACAACAACAACTCAGAACCCAGAACTGAATCGAGATAGTAATAATAATACTAATAGCAACAAACACCCAGTTTACAGAGGAGTTCGTAAGAGAAGTTGGGGCAAATGGGTCTCCGAAATTCGCGAGCCTCGAAAGAAATCTCGCATATGGCTCGGCACTTACTCTACCCCTGAAATGGCCGCTCGAGCCCACGACGTGGCTGCGTTGAGTATCAAAGGCAACTCAGCGATTCTCAACTTCCCTCAACTCGCTGACGCGCTACCTCGTCCCGTCTCTCTCTCTCCCCGCGACGTCCAAACTGCAGCCGCTAACGCAGCTGCAATGGTTCATTTGGGTTCCTCGCCAACGACGACGACAATGCCCGATGAACTGGGTCAGATAATTGAGTTACCGAGTTTGGAAGGGAGTTTTGAGTCAGGGACCGAGTTCATGGTGGTTGACTCCGCTGATGGGTGGCTGAATCCGCTGGCGAGGATGGATGAGAGTGACTTTGACTTTTGTAGGTATGATTTCGATCAGACGGCGGAGGAGGATGATATGATCTCTAGCAGCTTTGAAACTTTGGCATGGGACTCTTAAGAATGCATGTTTGCCACAAGACACAATCTCATACTTCTTTTACTAATCTATATCTATATCTATATTTATATCTATATATAAAGAAAATATTTGAAATCTTCAAAAAAAAATATTAATTATTTTATCTAAAATAATGTGACAGGATAGGATAATGTTAAGAATATCAAATTTTTTATTAAATAAATAATAAAATTTCTTACATGGGTGTCGGGTCTACAATACCATGTAAGATATTTGATTATTTATTTAGTAAAAAATTTAAGACTTATAGCATTTTCCGACAAGATATGTAATAATTTTTAATTTATTACGCATTTAATAGTGGGTCTAACTCTCATATCATATCATTGTAAATGAATTTATAAGTATAAATATATAAATCTCTAATATTACTCATATATATACATATGCATACCTTTTAGTTGTTTCCATCTTGTTTGATTTTCATATCAATTTCAAATCAAATATAATCTTGAAGAGTTATGTCAGTTATCTTAAATTTTTTATTAAACATTTTATATAAGTGTGAGACTCATACATATGTGAATTTGTGTAAATTTTACGTCTATATAAAAATAAATTTAATAAATAATTTGGGAGCCATCTAACATTTTCCAATCTGAAAATATCGTATGCCTAAGAAAAATACTTTGAAAAGTAATAAAAATAAAGCATAATGCTTGATCAACCGAGTATAGAATGACGTGGAGTAGTCCAGGTGCAATTCAACCCACACGCGAAATAGAAAAACTCTGCCCAAATGCTTTTTCTCTCCTCAATTCTCATCTTTTTTTTTATTTTTATTTATTTAACACCATCACTGTCTCTCTTGCTTAGCTCCGTTTGACAAGGAGGTTTGAGACTATTTTAGTCACAAAAAACAAAATAAGTTATTTTAGCCACAATAAACAAAACGTTACATCCAATTCATAATCATTACACTCTTCTCTCATAAAAAAAGTCAAAAAGATTAAAAAATTAAAAAGTCATTCCCAAATCAAACTTTTTAGCCCATACTAAAATAGTCAAAAAAATCAAAAAATCAAAAACACAACTTACTTCCCAAACGGAGACTTACATTGCAAACAAAATCATTTTCATGTTCCTTTCTCTGTATGCAAATACAACCCACTTATCTATCCCTTCAATTCCCCTTCTCCCTATAAATAAAGACCCAATCAACTTCCCTTTTCTCTCTATAAATGCAAACCCATCCATGGATATTATTTTGTATACCATAAATAAATTATACACAGTTGCAATCAGCTATTAGCTTCGTTGATGACACATTTTGTTGTGTGTATTTATGTTTTTATTGCAATATGTTATAATCTTCAAAAGAGAGGAAAGAAATGAAATTAGGAGGTGACCAAGAAAATGTAGAGAGAAAAAGTGGTTTGAGACTTTTTTAGCCTGATTTTTTTAGTTTCGTTTGATTTTTATTTTAAGACTTTGTTGACTTTTGTGAGAGAAAAAGTGAAATGGTTATGGATAAAAAGAGATATTTTGTCTCATTAACTTATATAACTTATTTTGTCTTTTTGTGCTCTTTAAATTCCAAAATCTTAGCTAAACGAGCACTAAGTTTGGTTTTTTGATTTTATAAATATAATTAAAAAGATCACAAATTTGTTGTATTACCCAAAAAAAAAAGAAAAAAAAAAAAAAAAAAAACTCAGAGATCAGGAAGAGAGAGAGAGTCATTGGAAAGGAGAGTGAATGCTACCGAGAAGAGAGAAGCATGCTGCCTTTCTTTGCTGCGTGCTCCAGGCACCTAATTTGTAAATGAAAAATGAGTGAGAGTATAATTAGTGCTATCATTAATGATGTAGTAGTTGGTTCCACCATGAATGATTTGATGTTTTGACTTTAGTATTGTATTTTTTTTTTTTTTATTGAGTGTCATGTCATTAGTAATTTTTTTAAAATTTTAAAATTAATGATCTCTATTATTATTGTGTGCAAATGTTATATAAATCCATACTTTCTTGTAACTCGAAAGTTGCAGCCACAATTTGGCTCAAAACTCACCTGGACAAACACTTCATCAAATCAAAGCCATCCTAGCAATCCTTATAACTAATAACTTTCATTAAATTATAGATTAACCCCAAAAGATCTGAAAAAATTACATAAAGTATACCTAGTAAATAAAAATTATATTTTCATATAAACTTTGAGTTAGTAATTATATGCTTTTAATTATAACACTTAGAACTAAAATAAAAGATAGTTTAAATTATATTTCTAAATTAGAAAGTGACTTAAATTTGACTATTATCTTAGGACAATCTATAATAAATTATAGCAAAAGAATTGTCAATATTAAAAATAAAATAGCCTTAGAAATAACTAGTGTAGAATATCAACGAAAGATTTTACAAAAATTAATATTAAATTAGGAGAAATAAATTATGAAAATATATTAAAAAATATTAAAGATAATAAGTATAAATATATACATATGGGGAGTGTACAAATACAAATTATATTGTTATTTGATAAAGGAAAAGATATACATGTATATGTATTTTTGTGTGAAATTAGACAATGAGATTTTAGAAGGTTCATAATCAATTGAATAGAAAGTAATCTATGTAGGGGCTGAGCAAGAAATCCGTAAAATCCGTAATCCGATCCAGTCCAGTCCAATCCGATAGGTTTGGATTCGTTTTTTGAATCCGTGGTTCGGTTCCGGATTGAAGAATTAAAAATCCGTAGTCCACGGATTGGTTCCGGATTGAATCTCACGGTTCCAGATTAGAACCGATCCGGACCGTATACAAATAGTCTATATTTTTATTATACATCCTCCCCCATAGTATCTTCTCTTATTCTATATAAAATTTAAACTCAAACCTAAACCTCGTATAATATCTTCTTTTATTACTTTTGTTTTTTAGTTTTTAGTTTTAATTTGTAATGGTCTAAATATTTATGGTGAAACCAGTTTTTTTATGATTGTTTAAATTCTAGAACATTATGTCGCTATTATAGAAAAATATGTTGCTATTGTAGAACTAATGTAGCGCTATGTTTATATTTTTATAAAATTAAAGTGTTATATATATATATATATATATATTTTTGTTATTTAATTATGTGAATCCGTGGTCCTAAACCGATCCAATCCGTGTTGAAATGGATTGGTTCAGATTGGTTCCAAGATTTAAACGGATCGGATTGGTTCCGATTTTTCAGGAACCGTAGATAACGGATTGGTCCTGGTTTTATCCTAATCCGTTCCAATCCGGACCATGCTCACCCCTAAATCTATGTAGGGACAATTAGGTTTTTAATTCCAGACAATGATATTATATTAAGGATAGATTCATAAATAAGTTTTTAACTTTAAAAATATAAACCCTAGGATCGATATGCATGAAACCATCTATTCATTAAGGATATTTTAGAAATAATATATAAGTTAGATAATACCATAAATCATAAAATGCAACATAAAATTATAGAAACAGATAAATTTGAACATACCAATGGAATACCAATTGAAAAAATTATACCTAAAAGAATAAATCCTAATGAGATCAAGTTAAATAATCGATGGATAGCAAGTTTCAATAATCCTGAAAATATTACAAAAAGAAAAAATATAATTCAAATCGATAATACCGGAAATATTACAATAGCACAATAGAAAATAATGATGAAGTGGATAACGTAAGCATATCGTTAGGAACGCACTCTATAAATAATTCTAGTATACAATCTAAAAGGAGTTCAGTTAGTAACAGAATAATATGATATAGAATTACGAATGTACCAGTATATAAAGATGAGGACAATCTTATGGCATGGACAAAAGATAATGAATAAGAAGTACAAAAAGAATATGATACATTTGTAAAACGGTATAGCAAAAAGAATGAAGAAAATAAAATGTCCTTGTTGTATACTAATATTAATAGTATACATATACCCATAAAAATACACATAGAAGGATTTAATATTTACAAACTATATGCTTACCTAGATAATGTATGCTCAGTATATTTTGGGAAAAGAAAACTCTTTATTGAATATATGTGGAAAAAACAAAATCTACCATTGATACTTCGAATAGCTAATAATAGTACGATGATACATAATAACGCTATAGAAAATTTAATTATCGAAATTAATTCAGTTACCTTTATCATTCCTAAATTTTGGACAACCGATCAACCATCACATAATGTAATTATATGTAATAATTTTCAAAGATTATACAGTCCATGTACTTAAACATTATGTTCTGTTATAGTTACAAGTAACAATAAACTAATTGAAGTCTTTAGAGTATAGTTGAAACTAAAAAAGAAGTCTGGTTCTCAGGCCTTTTTAGAGCAAACAATACTCTAGCAATCCAACAGCCTGCAGACACCCCTTTCCTTGTAAATCTTTGTTAAATAAAAAAAAAAAAATCATTTTCATAAAAGAGTGTGTTACTACTGTAAGTCAGGTTATTGATTTTAGTTCTCCTGCATAACCAATGAAAGCAATTTCTGAAGTTACAATTTGATGTAGGAAACGAAACAGATTTATACTGAGTTTGATCTAAGGAAGGAAATGTTGAGGTTAGCCACCTCTGTAAACTGGAAACTTGCCAGTGCTAGAGCCCTACGCTGACTATGTCCATGTAACGATCAAAATCTGTAGATACTGTTCTTATTTTGGAAGCATAGTGGGCCTAAAATCAAAACATCTTAGAATTATAAATAAGTTTTTATTTTTTATGAATTTATATCACCATTTCTATATCTAAGATCTATTGCTAGATCGTAGTCAAGTACTAATATTAATTGCAAATTGTCACCAACATCATGAATTTTTACCAAATCTACTAAACACTGGTACTGCTAAAGATATAGAATTTACAAAAAAAAGAGTTGATAAAATATCTGAAGAAATTGTATATTATCAAGAACAACTACGTTTAGTATCTTTAATAAATAAATAAATAATAATAATTGTGGATGCTGATTTCCGACCACACAACCAAAAATGGGAACTCATCTAGAGAGCACTGGCAGAATAGATTAAGCACAAACAACTTATCACAGAAAGATAAGAATCCCGCGGTGGTTCGTCCACCCGGGAGGTACTCCGACGATCAAGTCAGTAAAATATCTCTCAAAGAAAACCAATAGTGCTTAACTCACTAGACAAAGCATAACAGACATACCTTAGACCCATAAGGATGCCTCTCTTTTATAGCCAAAACAATCCTAGTTCCAATAGAAGCCTAACTCTAATAGACTTAAGATTACTGCTAATCTTGGACTCTTAATACGATTAGAATAAACTCTCTAAGAGTCTTATCTTTACCCAAACTGAAGTCTTCTCCCATTCTAGAACTCTTGTCCCTTATCCGCTTATTCCCGATTTCGGTATTCTCGCA